AGCTTGAAAATTTTTTCGCAAGATTTTTGCATATTTGTACACTGTATCATTTTAATACAAGGTGAGGATAAACACGGCAATTTAAAATAAAATGCTAAACTGTAACATTGATGTGAAGATTAACGAAAATATTCAGTTTTATAAAACTGCATTAGGTTGATCTTTACATTACGGTAACTGGTAGTTTGGCGACATTTTGGAGGCGATAAAGGTTACTACCTGGGACTTTGGTAATAATGTGAGCAGCACTGAGTTCCGATTACGCATTATTTTGTGTGGGGGAAATGAGAGATCATGGGATATGTCATGTGATATTAATGGAACGAATTACGGTTCTTTAATCGGAAAAGGGGGAAATCGGGAAAAAATCTGGAAATTTTGTATTTGGCTTTATTCTGTGTTGTGTGAAATAGTGTTTGTGAATTTTTGGATCCCATGGCCGTAAGTAAATTGAATTCGAAATGGGTATTTTTTAGTGGTATTGAAAAGGATAGTAAGAAATGTTTTTTTAAGGTTGTGTGAGAGAGAAATAAACATGTTTTATTATGTTATTTATTTTACCTGGTATCTTGCTTTGAAAGATAAGTATGATTTTAAAGATTCGGAAAGAGAATGAAGAAAAGTGTATCCGCCACGTAATGAAGATTCTGAAGGAGATTAGGTAAGTTAGTATTTTTAATTATTTTTATGCATTGTTGGAAATGTAAGGTGGAAAGGAATTTGGTATTATTGGGAAAATTGTTATTAGCAATAATTTAGTTTAAAATAATTAGGATTGAGGTAATTTTTATTAATTGAATGTATGTGCTCATGTATATTTTAAGTTGTGTTTTTGAATTTAATTATATTTTAATGAAATGATAGTTATTTTGTGAATTTTATACTTGTAGGAATTTGGTGTATGTTTAAGTTGAAATAAATGTGCATGGAAATAATTTAAATATTTGATAATAAATATTTGTAATGCTTCATGTATGAATTCGTTGGTGACGTGTATAATGTAATAGATGATTTAGAGGTAAACGTTTTTGGATATTTTATTTATTTTATATGTGGAAATGTTCATATTTGTAAAGGGTAAATACTTTTTCGCGATCAGGTAATTTCATATATGTTCTTTTTACCGGGTTTAAAGATTGAGAAAATTGTCATGTATTTTCGTGAAATTTTTTTAATTTATGAGAAAAAAGCAGTGTACATGGATATAGTGAAGAGTGTGCGCAATGCCATTTTTGTGCAATTCTGGGATGTTTTTTTAAGTAAAAATAAGTCGACGTGTACATGGTTCAGTGATATTTTAATGAAATGATAGTTATTTTGTGAATTTTATGCTTGTAGGAATTTGGTTTACGTTTAAGTTGAAATAAACGTGCATGGAAATAATTTAAATATTTGATACTAAATATTTGTAATGCTGCATGTATGAATTCGTTGGTGACGTGTATAATGTAATAGATGATTTAGAGGTAAACGTTTTTGGATATTTTATTTATTTTATATGTGGAAATGTTCATATTTGTAAAGGGTAAATACTTTTTCGCGATCAGGTAATTTCATATATGTTCTTTTTACCGGGTTTAAAGATTGAGAAAATTGTCATGTATTTTCGTGAAATTTTTTTAATTTATGAGAAAAAAGCAGTGTACATGGATATAGTGAAGAGTGTGCGCAATGCCATTTTTGTGCAATTCTGGGATGTTTTTTTAAGTAAAAATAAGTCGGCGTGTACATGGTTTATGTGTATGTGTTATTTTCAAAATGCGTAAGGTGTATGGTATTGTGCACTTTTTCCGAAGTTTGCAGTGAATATTTGTCATGATTAAGCAGTTTTCTTTGATAAAATTTCGAGCATAAGTGTAATTCGGCTAGTAGATTGTTGGAAGAAGTGTTCAGTAGATAAGAAGAAAAGAAACATGTCTTTACTTCGTGAAGACAAAATGGCGGCGGGGAAAAAAAATAGAGGGTTGCTGTAGGGGAGTTGGTCGCCAAATTTTCGCCAAAAAATCGCCAAGTTACCGTAATGTACAGATCAACCCTGCATTAAAATATTAACACATGAAAATGTCAAATACAAAACTTCTATTACACTCATATTTGCATTTCAAAAATTCAATAGGTATCACAAATTCCTCGCCCCACCAAAAAAAAATTTAATTAAAGAGGCGTTAATAACCACAAACATTCTGTTGACATTTAACTACGTTTTGTTTATATTTTAAAAATCGTGCATTTTCTCTTTAAAAATTTAATTATAAGTATCAGCAATGAGACTAATTCATTTCATTTAATTCCTTTATACATGACATATTGGAATCATCCTGGAAATTAGTGTTTTTTGAAAACTTGTTTTCCATAAATGTATGTATAGCTGATTAAACGTGTATGTCAATTTAATCATATACCTGAAATCAAATGGATGTAAAATTTTTAAAAAAAGTGACACACACTGTTAAACATGAGGACTTTATAAAAATCTCGGTAAAAGCCTAGTAACGGTACGGCCTTGGCGCGGTTTTAAAAACTTAGGAACCGCATTCCAGACAGAATTAGCACACACCAAAATGATTCATTTACTGCTCATCATAATGTTGCCAAGTCACCAAATCCCGTGAGTACTATATACTAGCATTAAATCAAAATCTCCACTGGATTTCCTTCATACCAAGTCACTGACGCAGATCACGCAACAGAATCTTAACATTTAAATTACTAGTAGTCCATAAAAATTATTGAATGCGTTAATGAATCTATTAAGTAATATTTCTGTGTTATGTACACGATTTATGGTCTATAAAACATGTGACGGTCTCCTCAGATGCTTATTAAACTGCTTACATGTAAAAAAATAACACAAATATCTCAATACAGTTAAACAATAATCTGGATCAGTTTGCCCGTTTGATATGTTTCTATTCAAAGTTTACACGTAATTTTTAGCTACACATTTAGTCTTTTCATGAATTCACCGGTAATAACATACACTTGAAGAGAAAAATTTCATGGTTGATCTTTACATTATGGTAACTTGGCGATTTTTTGGCGAAAATTTGGCGACCAACTCTCCTACAGCAACCCTCTATTTTTTTTTCCCCGCCGCCATTTTTCTTCACGATGTAAAGACATGTTCTTTTCTTTTTATCTCCTGAAACCTCTTCCAAAAAACTACCCGAATTACTTAGCTAGAAATTTTACACAAAATGTTAATCTGACAAATATTCACTGCAAAATTAGAAAAACTGCACAAACCATTCTCCTTACGCATTTTTCAAAAAACACATACACATAAACCATGTACACGCCGATTATTTTTAAAAAAAAACATCCCAGAATTGCACAAAAATGGCATTGCGCACACTCTTCATATATCCATGTACCCTGCTTTTTTCATAAATTAAAAAAATTTCACGAAAATACATGACAATTTTCTCAATCTTTAAACCGGTAAAAAGACATATATGAAATTACTGATCGCGAAAAAGTATTTACTTTACAAATATCAACTTTCCACATATAAATAAAGAATATCCAAAAACTTTTACCTCTAAATCATCTATACATTATACACGTCACCAAATCATACCTCACGCATTACAAATATTAATATCAAATATTAAATTATTTCCATGCACGTTTATTTCAACTTAAACGTTACCCAATTTCTACAAACATAAAATTCACAAATAACTATCATTTCGTTAAAATATAATTAAATTCAACACTACTTAAAAATATAAATGAGCACATACATTAAATTAATAAAATTACCTTACAATCCTAATTACTTTAAACTAAATCATTGTAATAACAATTTTCCCAATAATACAAATTCCTTTCCACCTTACATTTACATGCATAAAAATAATATCCTCAAATAATTAAAAATACTAACTTACTAATCTTCTTCAGATCTTGTTACGTGCGGATACACTTTCTTACTTCTGTTTCAGAATCTTTAAAATCATACTTATCTTCAAAGCAAGATACAAGTAAAATAAATAACATAAACATCTTATTTCTCTCGCACAACCTTAAAAAAACATTTTACTATCCTTTTCAATACCACTATATACCGATTTCGAATTCAGTTACTTACGGCCATGGGACCCAAAATTCACAAACACTATTTCAACAACACAGAATAAAGCCAAATACAAAATTGCCAGATTTTTTCCCGATTAAAGAACAGTAATTCGTCCATTAATATCACATAACATATCCCATGATCTCTCATTTCCCTCACACAAAATAATGCGTAATCAGAACTGAATACTACTCACATTTAAAAAGTCTAACTAACTAATCTTCTTCCGAATTTCCTTACATGGTGGATATACTTTTATTATGGATTCAATAAAATTACTGAACGATTTTTTTTTTCGAATTTGATAGAATTTGATAAAAAAAAAATTCTCTTTTCACATCTACAATCACTTTAGACAGCGCCATACAATCCCAAAATTATTCAACCCTACTTCACACAACACACAATGAAGCTTAATACAAAATAATATAAATCCACAGATACTTGTCCAAATTCCCCCCTTTTCCGATTAAAGAAGCGTAATTCGTCCTTAATATCACATGACATATCCCATGATCTCTCATTTCCCCCACACAAAATAATGCGTAATCGGAACTGAGTACTGCTCACATTATTACCAAAGTCCCAGGTAGTAACCTTTATCGCTTCCAAAATGTTCCCAAACTACCAATTACCATATTGTAAAGAATAACCAATTTCATCAGTCTATCACCCCACATCGCGACATTACATTCGATCTCAGTTTCAGACAGGTGACACTTCTGTTTATAGAGGTACGTAGGACAAGATCAACAGTCCGAGGTTAGAATGCAGATATAAGATTAGTGCTAATTACTAATGCTAATGTAAAGAAATCACTAACACACAGCGAGGATGATTATTAAATTATAATTATACTGAAAAATTATCAAAAGATATAAAATTTAGAAAGCATTTTACTAAAACGTAAACAACTCACTTTGATATGGCAGACTGAATATCCATGACGGTAGGAGTTGCCAATCCAAGAAAACATTACCCACGTGTCCGTAAGGCTTGAAAAATATATCCAGATAAAATACCATCAATGAAATCTCCGTGTGGTAACAGGAAAACAAATAAGAAAAAGAGAAAAAAATCAGATATAATTAAAATTTCAGAATTAATTGAAAATAAGTTTTACTGAAATGATGGAGCAATGTCTGCCATGCAACTTTTACTTAGCATAATTATATTCCAATTTCGAAGTAATATTGCAATTTCGTACGTTATTTATTTTCTAAAATGAAGCATTTAGTCTGAACATTTTAAATTACATAGTAGATCGAATCGCACAAATAAAGAAAGAGAAAAATTTTCAGAAGATCATGCCGAATGGTGCAACACCGGAATACAATCAAGGATCAAGGAAGGATTCTATTACGAGGCTCGTAGGCTTAATGCTTTTATCCCCACATCATCAAACATTAAATAATTATCATCAAAAAGAAGGTTCGGCAAAGAGGTAAAATTTAGAGTCGAATTGTCAAAATAACAAAAAGTAAACTGCCTTCCACAGTGAAAAAAGGAAAACACATTGAAGGACTTAATTTAATAATTTTGATATCGAATAAAACGCCAAAATCAATTTTGAAGAGTTACATCATGAATTTAGAAGAGCTTGGGTATTTCCTTCATCAATGATCTTGTGGTGTTAACAACACGAGAAAGGAATCGCTTGAGAAAGATCATTCACGTCGCAAGTGATTTGGGTCTGGGGAGGGAAGGGAGAGGGAGAACTCTTTAGGCTAGTTAGATTTAGAGATGATGATGATAAAGATCGTGTTTTATTCTCGAGTGTCAAGATGCAGAAACAACGTTTTACTCGGCTTCTGATAAACAATCAGCGGAAAAAAGAACAGAGAACAGTGTAACAGGAGGTGTGGGAGGGGGTGAGAAGAAATCTGATCCACGCTAGCGGCGAATGGGAGGTGGGGTCAGTGACGTTACGAGATGAGGCGTGTGTAAACCGCACAGTCAATTAGCGTGAATGAGTCAATTATTGTGCTATTTGTTAAGTAGGCAGGATGTCACAGGGGTAACGATGTTTCTGCTTGGGGGTGCGGGGAGTGTCTGAGAGTGCTAATAAGGCTATTACTGTAGGATTGCACTGAATGAAAGACGTTGACCGCTAATCTTTTAATATTATCTTGCATGGGTTCAATTTGAAGGTCTCTGTGGATGTAAGTGTTTGGAATATACCAAGGAGCATTAATAGTTTCTCCTAAGATTTTTATTTTGTAGAACTTGTAATTAAGACACAATAACACGCCGAATAAATACTAATTCAGAAGTCAAACAACAAAAATCAGCGTTATATTTACAAAATTTTCACAGGACTAGTTTCGATGGTTTTACCGAACCATCATCTTCAGCTGCAAAACCGCAAATGAACAAGATAGGAAATAATGATTAGATAAGATAAGAAAGCCTGGACAAGAATAAGCAAGTGGTGCCATCTGTTGGTGAAACCAGAACTAAAACATAATTTCTTTAAAGGCCGAAGGCAAATTTGGATTGGAATTAGGATCGTTAACTAGAACAGAAAGATTTTTATGAATGTGAAATGCCTCTAGAAACTCCAGTTCTCCAATGGAAGATGTTTTTTGAATAATTTTGGCAGCAGAAAAATTGAAAGTGTGGTTTTCGGACCAACAATGTTGAGCAACAGAAGACTTCTGTATTTCCTTTTTTCTAACATATGCCTCATGTTCCTTGACGCGAAATTTTAAGGCTCTCTTAGTTTGGCCAATGTAAATTAAACCACACTGGCAAGGAATCCTACAAATACCCCAGGAATTGATATCCGGAATGGGGAATTTTATCTTGAGTATGGAACTCGGAATTTTATTGATGGGAGAATAAACAATCCGAAAGTTAAATTTCTGCAAAATATGTGCAACTTTATAGCTAATTGATGGAAAGAAGGGAATGACAACAGAATTTTATAATCTCCTAAAATAGAGTGTGGCTTAGTGTGTTCAGATGAGACTTTTTTAACTGCTTGATTAATAATGTTGGATGAAAAGCCCCTGTCAAATAGCTATTGCTTTAAATAATTTAGTTCTTCATCAAGGGCTAGTTTGGAGGAGCAAACTTGAAGAGCACGGAAAACATAGAATAAAATGAAGCTAACTTTTGTTTAGTCGGATGACATGATTTAAAGTGTGGTGGAAGGCAAACCGATGAAGGTTTACGGTAACTATAGTACTGAAGTTGGATGTGTTACGTGTGACCAGAATGTCGAGAAACGGAAGAGAATTGCAAGTCTCAAGTTCAAAAGTGAACTGAATAGCAGGATCAATAGAATTCATTGTTGAAAGAACTTTACTTAAATCATCTTTATTACCTTCAAACAGGGTAATTGTTTAATTTTGGTTTTAGCTGCATGTCGCCAGATCGGAGCTGCATAAAAAAGGGCTGGACGAAGTACGGAGCGGTATAAAATTAATTTGTTAATTCTAGATAAGTTGCTTTTTCTACAAGAAGAGGTCATAGTAGCTGAGTGATTTTAAATTTTTTGTAACGGACCGGAAATGAGTTCTGAAGGTAAGTTTTTGATCCAGGGTGAATCCAAGGTATTTGGTTTCATTAATCCAGTCTATTTCTTAGTCAAATATTTCAGGGGTGGAAGGTAATATTTTATGTTACCCTTACGGAAAATAGTTGCTTTGGTTTCATCAGTGTTATTTTAATCCTCCAAAGGGTAAGCCATTTTTCCAGTTTTATGAGATAGTTTTAGAGTTGGTTTCTTGCGGCGATTGCTGTGCAGGCTTTAATAAGTATGGCGGTGTCACCGGCAAGGAGTGCAAGATGAACTAAAGAGTCTTTATTGATATCTTGCGTATAAATATTAAAAAAATACGGCGAAAGTGCCGACCCTTGTGGGACACCAGCTTTGATTACTCTGATGGTTGAGTAAGTAGTACCAATTTTGATTCTGAACATCCTGTTGCTGAGAAAAGAGGCAATTAAGCGAATAAAATGATCTGAAAAATTAATTTGTAAATGAGGCCGTGATGCCATACCCTGTCAAAAGCTTTCGCGATATCGAGGAATATTGCACCGTTCGGAAGCTTGCAGATGTGGCCTTCAGTGATAATGTTCATAACTCATAGAAGTTGGTGGCAAGGGCTATAATGATTGCGAAAATCGAATTGCTCTTCTGAGAGAAAATTCATGGAAGGATGAATTCTTTGGATGTGTAAAAGTAGAATTTTCTTAGTGACTTTAGAATGATGACTTAGTAAATTGATAGGGCGATAGTTCTGAGGGAAAGTGGGATTTTGTTGCGGTTTAGCAAAAACTATTATTATAGCTCGCTTCCATGGGATAGGAAAAGTAGCAAATTTGATAATGTTATTTAAAATCTTATTTAGGCAGGTGAGAGCGTTGATGGGGAGATGTTTCAGTGCTTTGGTCGAGTTGCCATCGTGCCCTGGGGCTTTCTTCTTCTGTGAGGAGCTGATGGTGTGAGCAACAATTGTTAGGGTTGTCAACAAAGTGTCACTAGGTGCAATAATAGATACGTGGGTACCACCCTACAGCGCCGATAACACCAGAAATTCCAAACTTTCGAGTCAATCGTAACTTGATTTTGCTTTGTTGAAAACTATGTAAATTTTATCCATTTGGTGGAAATACCAGAACAAATAGCATCTGTAACCTCTCAAATGCACCAACTTGACATTTATTTCTCAGCCCAATATATCTGTCATTAACAATATATCTCTGGTAACTTCCAGAAGCATACGGCGGCAAATAACCTGTCCGTCCGAATCCCGCAAACGGATTGATATATTCCCAATATATCTCTGATAACCAATATATCAATATCTCTATCATCACATAACTGCCAACCCTTCCACCACTCATCCAATGTTTGTAAATTGCAGCCTCGCTGCGTCGAATGTGCAGGTACACATAAAACTGAGAATTGTTCGCAAAAAAAGATTAGCTACTGTTAAGTGTTGCAATTGTAATCAAGAAGGACATACCGCGAATTATCGTGGATGTCCTAAATTTCCTTCTTCCCATATGCCTAAAATTAATGAAATGAATAATGATAAAACCAATGTCACAAATCTTGATGTTAAAACTAATGTGAAATCTGTTACAAGAAACCCTGTAAAGATTTTTAATACTAGTGAAAGGGCTTATGCCAATATTGTCAGAAATGTTAAAGATACCATCCATAGCTCTGCTAATGTTGAACCATTTCTAAGCACCATCAATGATATTGTAAAATTTTTCAAAGAAATAGTAAATGTTTTCAAGGGATACTCTATTATGAATATTCTTATAACGATTGCTGATAAAATGCCTGAACTCCAGGCTCATGATAATCCGTTAGATAAAATTTTTGTGATATTTTCTCTATTTAAAGAAATCTTTAATCCCAATAATTCTAGCAAACAGCTGCTTATTTATTAATTTTAATACTCATTAGCAACCTGACTTAATTATTATGCTGGATGCTGTTACATTCTAACTATGCTTTTGCTATTCATTAGTAGCCTTACTTAATTACTTTGCTTTTTATTCTTACATGATTCTTATTTGTTAGTAACTCGGCTTTGTACGATTGTAAATGTCTGGTTCGCACTTACTCTTCATGTCACCAGTTCGAACTGCTAATTGATGTCTCGGAGCATTTTCATGTCTTCTCGATTTTCTAGGTGTACCTTTTCTCTAATTCCGTAATCTCGCTATGCAAATTGCCTAAATGCTTATTATTTAAAAAAATACTTAATTTTTGCTATATAATTTATGAATATAACTATTATTTCCCTTATAATTTCGAAGCTGCGTACATATTGTACAAGGGGTAGTGTCCTCGAAACCAGGTACCCTGGGGATAATCACTACTGAACCACCTAGGATATCTGTCATTATCAATATATCATATACCAATATATCTGTCATTACTGACATATCTCTGATAACTTCCAGAAGAATAAAAGCTTAAAGCACCCCAAACCTGTTTTAAATAAATAAATAACTATATATATATATATGTGTGTGTGTGTGTGTGTGTGTAT